CCATATGACATTGGAAATTGAAACTGCGGCGAACTCTTTCCTTAAAAATGGTGTTTTTTTTTTTTCAATAAGATATTTTTTATTTTTTTAAAAAAATTTAGATGAAAAGAAAATTCTTCCTCATCTTTTAATTCACTTTCGAAATTAAGTTTTTTTTTATTTTAAAAGAATAAAAATTAATATAAAATTATTTAAATCATTGATTTTTATATAAAATTAATATTAAAAAATAATATTTTACATTTATTTAATTAACTATATAATTTAAATCATACATGTAACATTAATAATAAAATCAATCTCAATTTTTATTACTTTTAATATTAATTAATGTCAAAATTATATATTAATTAAGCTTTTAAGGATATATGTTAAAAAAAAAAATTTTACCAATGTTTACAAACGACCATATAACCATATACTAATGAAGGAATTTATCTTTAATGAATTAAAAACTTTGACAAACACGACGAGGCGTGCTAGTCAATTAAATCATGTTGGAGTTCCTTTCAATCCAAGTATGTTTTGAATTTGATTCTATTCAACGGTGAAAAAAAAAAATATTGCTTTCGTTAAAATAAAAAAATAAAAAAATAAAAAATAAAAAATAAGAAAAGCAAGCCAAACTCGCAATGATGCACAGGAATGGGAAGTGTGTATCTAAAGCGTTGTGTGGAAGCATTCTTGTCTCCCCAGCAGTACTGGCCAGCATGCATGCAATTCATCTCGATCATCATGATTATTTTATCTTTGCTTTTCACTATAACCTTTTTAATTAGCCTGCTTTAGTGGTGGTCATACTATCTATTGAACAGCAGATAAAATGCATTCAATTTTAAGGTTTGATTTTTTTATAAAACAACAGATACTAATACTTAATTTAACCATTTTCTCCTATAAAAAAAAAAAAGAAAATAGCCTCATATATTGATAAGAATAAAACAATTACTTTTATATATAATATATAAAGGAAAAAGTGTATTTCAAATCAGAATCCTAATTTTTTTTATAAAAAAAATCCCTTTAAAAATTGTATTTTTAATTAATATGTTAAAAACTAAAAAGTTAACAATTAAATTAAAATTTTTATTTTTATATATCATATATATTAATTTTCAAAATATTCTAATAGATCTAATTATTTTGTTAATTGCAAATTAATTTAACATCATTAAATATGTCAATATGACATAAATATAACCTCTTTGATAAATGATTATATATATTATATCAATATAAAAATTAACATGCATGCATAATTTATATGAATAAAATTTTTAATTTAATAATCAATTTTTAAAAATATCAATTAAAATATAAGTTTTTATATAAATATTTTTTAAAAAAATTAAGAGAATAATCTATCCTATATTATCCTTATATATAAAAGAAAAAAATTTGAATGCTTGATCTTAATTAATTTTAAATTAAAGTTTTTGAAATTAATGGGAACAAATTAATCAAGTTCTTGTTAGCGATAATAATGAAACAATTATTAGGCCTCCTATTTCCTAATTATGATTGCTTAGCCTTTTGATTCAGTGACAAGTGGTACAAAGTCATATGCTAGTGGAAACTGGATACCACTTTCGGCAGCGGAAAGAAGTGAATTTATATTAGAGGAAATGTGTACTTGACCACTTAAGAATTGAAAGAGACGTGTAAGTGTGGATTCAGAAGCACAATGTCCTGTTTTTGAGACGCATTTCAAGGAATTTTTTTGCTGATCCTTTTTTGGACTCCATGAATTGTAGGAACCTGATGAGAACATGAAATGAATGGCTTCCCTGAGAATTCGATGAACTCTCTGGAATTTCGATTAAAGCTGATATTCTCTGTTCGGACCCACCACCAGATGATATGTTTGCTTTGAAAGAGCCCACACAGTTTCCTCAAATTACATACGTTCAATGTACCCTTGTCTAAACTTGTTCTGTTTACTACATTATTTTGAATTCATTATCATCAAATTGTGATATTTAATTAGAAACTAGTAAATGTCCCAGATGAATGCAAAGAGTAGTTTGGACGAAATATTTATGAACATGAAAAAATGTGTAGTGCACACCAAATGGTTGATCAAATGCTTCTAAGAATACCATGTGCTGAGAATAGGTATGGAACGAAGCCTATATTATGAATGGAAAAGTACCTAATTAAGTTGCTCGAAATAATCAGTACATATCATGAGACAAAAAAGCACTGCAACTTGTGATTAGGAAATTAGTAAATCTTTCATAATAAGGAAAAATGTTTATCAACTGTAAGTATATAAAATTAAATTAAAAAAATCTCAAAAATATGATATTGTAATTAATTTTTATTAAAAAAGACTAAAACATACTAATATTTAAAACAGGAACGAAATTATTTTTAGTCTTTTTTTTCCTGTGCTAATATAAGTTGGAGAATATATTTTAATTTTTTTAGATTAAACAAGAGATATCTTATCTTTTATAATATCTTTGCTTTATGATAAGGAGAGATATTGTAGGATAGATTATCATTAAATAAACTCTTAATTAAGAGAGAGGACATGTGTAAAGCTAAGAGTTGGAGGACATTCTTAGTGTTAGGAAGTTCTTGTGAAAGGAACCCATGTTGAAGTTGTTAAGTGTACAGAATTTTCAGGTATCGCTGTCTGTATGTGACAAAGGCCATATATGTATATCCACTTCCAATCTGGGACACCAAATTACTAATATTTAAGCACATAAAAGGCAACGGACGGATGAACCTAAACAATCCAGATGTTTAAATAATTGTACTTACCACACATCCATATTCTTCATCAGCTCTGGTCCATTAAAGGTTGCATATCTTCTGGTAAGAAAGTTAGGTCATGTAATTTGACTGGAATTACGGACTATTTCACTGTTTAAATTATAAAAATAAGATGAAATTAAGAAATTTTCTTAAAAATATAGAAATGGAAAGGATTTTTTTTTTTTTACGCCAACTATCACAAAAAAAGGGTTATTTTTCTCAGCACTAAGCGTGTTGAAAAATAAATAGAAAGTGCTGAAAATACATTACTTTTCAACATATAATGTTGAAAATTGTCGCCGAAAAAAAATACCTGAAAAATAATTAATTTCTAGCATCATGTGGTGGTGCGTTGAAAAATAACTTACAATATTTTATAGCGTAATGCGTTAAAAAATTTTCATAAACGGCAAAGCAATAACGTATTATTATTTTGCTGTTACCTTTTTCTTTTTTCCAGTGCATTATACTGGAAAATGATCTTGACTATAACTACCATCAGCTAGGAAACTTCTAGTGCTTAATGTTGGCAAAAAATAGAATACTTATTTTTCAGTGCGGTATGCTGAAAAATAAGGTTGAGGATGTACATGATTAACTCATTTTCCAGTGCAATAGGCTGGAAATTCTTGTTGAAATGAAAAAAGAAAAAGAAAAAGAAAAAGAAAATTCAACTGATTATTAGTTTCCAGTGAAATGCACTCGAAACAAAGAGTCACTTAACAAGAAAAATATATAATTTTTATTTTTTAAATGTTATAATTTTTAATTAAAATAAATTCTAATTGTAATACATAAAATATATATGTACACACACCACATACAAATATCTTAAAAATAATATTATTTGAGTAAATAAAAGTATTTCACATA